TATTCACTTTGCTCAGGTTAAAAGAGATATCATAATATTAAAAATTATTTTTCAAAATTCAAATGAGTTAAGATTAAATTTCTTCAATGACTAATTTGTTTAACGTATAGTTTCAATCCTGTCTGAATTCTTTTATGTAAAAATTATTAAAACTTTAAACTTTTAGAATTAACTGCTTTTATTAAAATTTAATGTTAGTTGTTATTTTATTAAGTCGTCTACAATTGCGCCACGTCAATATAGACTCAACTGAATTTTTGTTAGAATGTACAGGTTTTCTTCTTATAAACGTTTATGGTAATTCGTTGGTGTCAAGCATAATTCAAGGTGACAAACATTTTCTCATTGTCTCACGAATATATGCATATATCTATGATAGTAAAACGTGAAGCGAAAGAAGATACATATGTAATCTTCGAAATAGCAGATAAAACATGGGACCGGAGACACTGTCTACGTATTTGATAAAAGGACAAAACTCGATAAGTTTGTATCTTTCATAGAGTTCTTAATTTTAGTCCGAATTAGTTTATGAAACATATATGTTAATATACGTAAAAGAAGAAATGAAATATTTATTTCGAATGGTAGTGAAGTAAATACAAGTTTAAAATTTAATTACAAAAGTGACGGTCATTATTATCTTATAATATGTTAAATAAGTATGGACAGCATTAATTTTTTATTTCCATTAGAATTTCTCCTAGTTTATTTAAAAACACGATTTATATTCTAGTTTAGATATATAGCGACTTAAAAAAAATTAATAAAGATTTTTATCATCTTTCATGCGATGAAAATTACAGCATCGTGTGAAACTAATTTCAATTTAAAATTTGAATAAACTGTAACCGTTTCAATAATCCAATTATTGACAAGAGCCTAGCAAGGAATACACGAGGAAAAAAACTTGATACGGTATACGTCGTAATGCGAAAATAGATAACCTCTAATGTAAAAGGAGAAATTAATCACGTCACTTCCGAGAGAATCAGTTCTTATGTTAAAACAATGCCATTAATTGGTTCGCATACAATGCAAGTGACATAACGACCCATATCTGGCGCAGTAATTCTGACCATAGAAATGATTGAATTATTACTGACACATGGTATGCTTGAAAATTATCCGTTTAATTAAACATGTCCATCCGCAGAATTTTTCGCAACACATCTATTACAATATATCTAAACAGATGCAGTACGATTCTAGTTCGAATATCCATACTCAGAGTTTTTAGGTTGTCGTCAATTTTATTTTAATTGAAAATAACTAGCTCCCATGAAATTACATTCACAATTTTGTTAGTATTACTGCTCTTAATATAATAAGATCTCCAGCGTAATAAGTCATACGAAGAGTGATATCTTATTAGCTTAATGGAACAGATTTGTCAAATTACGAAGAAAAATTGCATTTCAAGTATCAGTTTTCTTAATAAAATTTCTACATCTGCTCTAAATCTATATTATTTTCTGCTTGTAATGTTTCATTTTACTTTAAAAAACTAGTATGGAATAGTACAAAATACTAATAAGGAATAATATATTGAAGTACGGAAAACAATTAGATTAAATTACTATTTAACTAATTTGTACACTCTCTTAAAACATAATTGTTGCACAATTAGTTATAAATTCATATTACAGTAAAATTGAAATTCTAACTTGTATAATCATTACTGTGATTCAATTACAGGATTGCAAATTTTGTTCCAGGTTACATTAAAAACTTCCTTTCATTCAGAGAGATTTGTTATCGATCTATTGATATGTTTTTATACAGGAAGAAGGTATGATATCAACAGACAGTTTCTAAACTACGTCTAACAATAAGTGTGACATTCAAAAGTAGGTCCTTATGCAGTCTTTCATCATATTTTAAAATAATGGGAGATAAAAAGGAGAATAACACAATACTTATCTGTTTGAATCAGACTTGGTATTTAGTAATTCGAATTCTAAATTATATTAGATATAATGAAATTCCATTTTATTTCGTTTCAAAGTGTAATTATTTGTTTAGGTTTAGATTTTAAATGGAAAACTTTAACTTATCAAATATTGAATTCCGATTACTAGAATTAACTGAAAAACTAACACTTTAATTGATAGACCTTATTTTCGCCCTACACAGATACGGCAAAGTAATGAAAAATTCAACTTCTCATTATAATTCTATATTTCATATCAAGTTTTCTTTAAATCACTAGAAACAACAAGTACTTAATAAATATTTGTTCACGTTTCAATTAGATAACTACAATACGGGCTTTAATTCTTATCAATACAAAATAATTTAATTCCTAAACCGAAATAAATCTGCAGTTGTTGAAAATTCCTTTCTATAAGGAAAATATATTTCTACCAAATGCTTAATCTTTTGCATACATAAACGTCGTCAAAGCACACTTTTTCGCAGTTTGCATTAAGACAACTATTTCGATTTTGGTATGGATAAAACAGATTACTTAACTTTTTTACCTCCAATATCGTATCAAACTCGTGGCGAAAATTTTAAACTGAATTTGGGAAGTCTAAATGTTATTCATGTTTTATAAATATAAAATTAAATATACTTTTTCATTATCAATCGCAAACCTTTGGAGTAATCACAGACATGGAATAAACATCAAAAGTCGCTCTTTTCTTAATATATTATTAACGATGAAGTAGTTGTGTCGATGATAGTTACGAAATAAATCATAGGGCAAGGGGTTAATATCGAATGGCGACTGATTATAATCTGTATCGAAGATTCATAAGTTACCGGTAACAACCGTTTGGAATGTCAAGGATGAGCATCGTGACCCAATGCACACGAAGATCTAGCTAAACGAATATTTCCGAATCAGCTCTAGCTCAAGGCTGCACTAAATTCTAATTTACTTCTACTATTGATTTATTGACAGCGCTACGAAACGATAATTTCAGCTCAACGGTTCGCGTTTCAAGCAACATTAAAACAACGTTTCGAAAGACCAGACTGCAGCTGCGTGCTGCTCCAAGGAATAAAAATGATAAAAATCAACAAGCAACGACTTAACGAACACCTAGAATTCATTTGAAACCTAAATATCGATCTACCTGGAACAGCTGGTTTACCAAATAAATACATATTTTTAACCTATTATTGCTCTTTCGTTCGTGAAAGCGTGTTATTATGTGTAATCACGTGATGATTTGCATAGCAAACGAGCTCAATAAAAGTATCCATCACGAGAAAATAGATCGTAAGAACATCATTATGAACAACTCGTATTAAGGAAATTTCTCTTGTGAAATTCATTCTTATATACTTCCGATTATTTAGTGATAATGTCTCCATTTGCAATCACTATACTTGAGTAAAAAATAGCGTTAAATAATCCGATGATAACAAATCTCACAAAAGAGAACAAAAATGTTTTTCCTATTATAGCTTGCAAAATTATATATCTTAAGTGTTCATTACATTCATACTCAGTTTTTTTTTATTCTCTACGCCCATTCTTTTCGGTATAATCGTATTATAAACTATTCTTTCGCTATTAATCGGTAGTTCATTTTAATAAGTTAGTTGGATTTTCTGATCAAGTACCCTAACTACTTCGAAAAGTTTTTCTTCGTTTCTGATAGGTATTATCAAGTATTTCTTTTGGAATTGACAATGAGACACAGTATATAACGAAAATATTTAATTAAAATATATAAAAATTCAAATACAATCGGGACATCTATATTTCGTCGGTACCTTTAAGGTTTGAAACACGTCGCGTATTGTCAAACATAAACACGAATATTTGGTTTCATATGTCAAGTGAATGGGGTTGAGATATTGGGTTAAACGGAAAGTTTTGTCGGCAAAATTCTTGTGAACTTGTGAAATTTTGACAAGAATTTCATCGTTTTTCAAATACCGTTTGTTTATATGCGTTTGAGAGGTAAGGAAATGGGGGAACATATATGTTAGATTGAGAAATAACTTATTTTTCCCCGAAAGTTAGCCGTGAAACTTTCTATTCAACCAATATTTAAAGAATTGCATTCTGCTCCTCCTTTACCTGTAAAAAGAATAATTCAATATCGAGTAATTTATTTGAATATTTGTATTAGGATTACGTCTATTTCAGTTCCTCAGTGAGTTTAAACTATTAACCGATTCCTCTGGATGAATTTCTGCTCCGTAATTTTATAGTACGTTCTATGATTAACGTAAAACCGTTAGATTTGACATTTGTGTCGTTGTATTTGCTCGGATTAAGTTCTCGAACGTAAATGTAATAAACGGCGAAACGAAAATGTGTAAGTACGCGGCGGAAAAAATATTTCCTCTTCCCTTATTACTTTAATTTCGAAGGAGTTTCAGCCGGAGAGTAAGAAGATCAAAAGAACGATGATAAGGGATTCTGCAATGATGGACGAGAGGAAAATAGCGGGCCGTCATGAATTATGCAGATGCTTCAAATTTTTCGATATCGGTACCGAATATAGAACAAAATCGAATATCAAGTTCTTCAAAGTAACTTATTAAAAGAAACAATGAATTGTTTCATTTATTGTTTTCCTTTATTCGTCGCAAGCAGCAGAATATTATTATCATAACAATGTTTGTGGAATGGTTTCAAAAGATTTTGTATTATTCCTTTAACGGACAAATACTTCTAACGTTGTGGTGTTCTCAAATATAACACCCACAAAAGAATCGTGTCTAATAAATTCACATGAATCTACAAATTTAAATATCACATAAAAATTAATTGTATCGTCTAATTTCACGAAGGGAAAGGACTATAAGCAGCAAACAATTTTCCTCTAAAATTTCGTGTATTGCTGACTGTTCTACGATCAAACACAACTATTCTTTTCAAGCAGTGCGTGATCATAGTATGTTACATTGCATAATTTTTCCATCGTAAGTGTCTTCCGCTTAATTCCTTTCGCAGTGTTCCATGCGAAAAGGTACGATCACAATAAAATGCAACGCAGTTTAACGATTCGCGAAGTACCGAAAAATCTTACCGGCTGATTAACGTGGTAAATCCTAAAATGCGGCGAGGCACGCAGCGACAACCCAGCTCTGCACGAATCGCTTCGGATCTCCTTCCGTTATTACTTTGGACGATAACGGAGCGACGGGACGACGACGAAAAGGTCGCCAAAAATGCCGAAACTCGTGGCACTCGGACGTTTAAACCGACTGACTGGTGGCCTGACAGTCAGATGGACGAGTTCACCGTGAGACTTTCAGCCGCCTCCGATGACACCCACCTTGCTCTGTCACACCGGCACGATGAATTTTTACAACGGCACACTTTAACTTCACTCTTCTCACTGCGTGTTCCTCGCGCTACCCTTCACGCGCACGCATAATTCCCCGACGATTGCAGCCGACGTGAAGCACCCGCGCGTCCTGCGAAACGGTCAATGGGAAACGCGATTACGATATTCTTCCAACTCCAGAGGTGTTCATGGGAACACGTGACCGATGAAGCGTCGGTGCACAGGGTAACAAGAAACAGAGCTTAGAAGAGGTTAGCAAGCCGCGGACAATTACGTTCACTTTCCAAATCGCCGTCGGACGACCGCGGGTCTCGTAAACAAGAAGGGAAGAGAGAAACGACAGGGAAAGGATTAGAAACCCGCAGAAATTCCTATCGAATTTTCAACGCGATTACGCCGAGGTAACTCCCCCTTTACTTCGAGTTGCCTGGAGACTCCATTTCGGTAGCAAGCACCTTAGGTGTGTTCACGCGTTCTTCTTTTATCTTTCTTTCCCAGTGTTCCTTCCTTCCTTGCTTGTGAGAGAGATTTCTCGGGTAGTTCACTGGTACCGGTCCAGGAAACAGATGTCCCAACGGCAATTAGCGTCGCGGTCTGGCACCGAGTAGCTACTGGTACTGTATCGCGTTCTTTAAGCTTCTAAATCGTACTACACCGCGGCTTAGAC